GGGTGGTTGCTGGACCCAAGAGACTTTGGGGGTGTAGGACTTTGGAGACTCTGGGTGATTTTTGGGTTGCTGGATTCAAGAACCAAAAGGAAAGGACACAGCCCAATTTGCTGTGGTGGATCTTTTGCTCATGGTTTGTGTTATGAATCCTGTTTATGGTGTTTTTCTAATTTAATGCTGATGTCGTTTACCTCATGTTATTAAACTTTTTCTGCTACACTCAGACTCCGTGCTTGCGAGAGGGGAAGTATTGCCTCTTAGAGGCACCCAGGGGGTGGTATATAATTGTCCCAGGTCACTGGGTGGGGGCTCAAGCCGGTTTTGCATTGTGTTATTGAAACGAAACCCCTAGATTCAGACCCGGCCCTTGTTGCTGCCAACTTAGATGGGCAAAAGGGTTACATACACTCTGGGTCCTAGTGGCACCCCCCATAGTCTGGCACCTGAGGCGGCCGCCTGAGTTCACCTCATGGTAAGGCCAGCCCTGCTGCTCCGGGGGCAGGAGGGAGCTGACCCAGCAGACCAGTGGCTGGGATGGGAGGGGGGCACAGAACATCCCCTGCTCCAATGCTCCGGAGCAGTTTTCAAATGATAGTTTAGCCTGGCCCCAGACAGTCGCTTTCCTGACCACTCACTGGTTACACTCCAAGGCTAGAATAGGGACACTCAGTGTATGGTGGGAAGGAAACTCACCTCCCTCAGTCTACATGAGTAACTGCTGGTCTCACCACAGACCCAGCTCCCTCAGCTAGAGCTTGGAAAAACAAACAAACAAACAAACAAACAAAAAAACAGATGGTTTGGTTCTCTGGCCATTGGGGAAAAAAAAGAAAAATAACTCCAAGATTGTTTTGAGTTGAGCCAAAAATGACTGTTTTGGGGAATTTTTGGCAAATGAAAAAGTAAAAAAAAAGTTTAATGTTGGATGAATCCATTTGGTGTTCTTTTGGACATTAGTTAATTTTTGTTTGTTTGTTTTTATAGCTAAAATTAAAGGAAATTTCTAATGAAAAAATATTATCAAATTGAAAAAACAAAATGTTTTCTTTATAAAGTGTTGAAATGAAATGAGTTGTTCTGTGTGTATTTGGAACAACTGGGTGAAATTGACAGGAATTTGTGAAATGTTTCAGTGTCTCTGAATCTGTATTTTTCACCAAAACATTTTGCAATGAAGACTTTGTGCCCAGCTCCAACGACAAGCTCACAGGCTGAAGCTGCAGTGATTGAACTCTGGGTCAGGGCCTCAGATGGAAAAGTCATTAGATGGCTGCTCCCTGCTAAGAGTGAGACACACAGACCTGAGCGACTGAACATCTCCTGCTTCTCTCTCATCAGGTTATAATCAATCTCCTCGTACACGGCCTCAGAGAAGGGATCCAAGGGTCTTCTGGAACCTGAAAACAAAGGTCAGGGTTTGCACAGGGTCATTGAAACCAGAGATGGGAAACACTATGGGATCATCCAGCCCCTCCCCCTGGGCCCAGTTTGAGCCTGAACCCTACAGCACTTTCCCACTGCTAGAATTTAAATGAGCCAGGGGACAGGGTTTCTTTCCACAACAGCCCTTTGATGATGGTTCCCAGGGCTAGTTTGCTGTCAGGAAGCTTCATCACATTCATCTTAAATGTTCCCTTTTTAATCTCATCCCATTATTCCTGATTATTCCCCTTTGGAGCAGCTTAAATAATTCTTCCCCCACGCTGGTGTTTATCTGCAAAATGGTGATAACATCTTTTTTTTTAATTGAGTTTAAGGCCAGAAGGGACCATTAGACCATCTAGTCTGACCTCCTGTATATCACAGGCCACTGCATTTCACCCATATACCCCTAGGTTTGAGCCCAAAGATTCACTTAGACTAAAGAACCTCAGCAGAATAAGCTCTTGTGTGCCACAGGCAGAAAGCAGGAGCGATTAAGGTACCACCAATGCCCAAGATCCCTGCAATGGCAGGGAACTGACTAGGTGAGAGATGCCTAGATAATCCTGGCAGGTGATCCATGCTCCATGGTTCAGAGGAAGATGAAAATCACCCAAGGTCCCTTTTTGCCAATCTGAACTCGGGGAAAATTCCTTCCTGATCCCAAATCTGACAATCGGTTTGAACCTGAGCATGTGGACTGGTCCATCCCATCCAGTGTCACAGCTCCCTCTGTAGCTAATGTGTGATGCTTCAGAAGAGGGCAAGAAACAAAACAAAAAAAAAAAAGCAAAACAAAACACAAATGTGGGGGCTTCCCAGAATTCTTTCCTGACCCCTGCAGGTGACTGGCTGAAGCCCTGAACCATGAGGTCTAATAACAGTCATTGTCTTACTGCAAAATTGTGAATGTTACGCGTATGTTGATGGCAATCCCGTTCTCTACCTTCTTTCCAAGGAGCTGGTAGCTAATGTTTGTACAGTGTTTTAGAGAAGTAAAAACCCCTACAAGTGCCAGCTTTGAGTACAATACAGTATAATGCTCCTTTCCCACACTTCTCCTTCCTCAGATTGTCTTTTCTACTGGATCACGCTCTTCACAACTATTTACCACCACTCGACTTTTATACACTTTTTTTTCATGACAACATTTCCAATTTCTCTAGGTTCCTTTTCCATGATGTCTCTCCTCATGATATTCAGAACCCCTCCCTGTGATTTATGTTCTACTGCATTTGGGAGGGTTACCACAGCTCCTTCAGGAAGAAAAAACAGTGTGCGTGGGGGATGGGGGGCGTGATTAAGGTGAATCATGGAGATTGTAACAACTCCTGAAAAGTAACAGCCTTCAGGGTGGTTTATACAGACTGGTTCAAACTGGGTTACCAGAGACCAAGAGACAAAGAAAGACTTCTGGTATGAAAGGCTGAGTTTAAACAGACTCAGGGCTTTCATTTTGATTCAGCAAATGGGCAGGACCTTCTGTCCACGGGGATCCCAACACTGAATCATTGGACAGACGGTCGTCTAACAGGCTGCTGAGAGAGAGCTGGCTGGTAACTTGTGACTGCTGGCAAATCACTGCTCATAGCCCTTGGGGAGAAAGCACATCATGGGGCTGGCCTGTGGGCAGGCTGGTTTTCTAGGGGTATCACAGTGGAAGGCAGGGGGCTGTGCAGAATTAAAAACACCTGGCCACAAGGAGGTGGGACAGGAGGTTCCCACCCAGAGACAGGTGATGGCTGGAGACCTGAGTAGGCACTCCTGGAGTGGATTACTGGAGGGTAGGGGGGATACAGATGCAGCTTCTCTGAAACTGTAAAGGTCCCTAGCTAGTATCATCTCCAGATTTCATGATTGGACTGTTCAATTGCCAAACAGTTAATAAAATAGTAAATGAGAGAGGCATTACCAGGCACCCCCGTCCACCCCACCCAGCCCGGTATCACCCCTCACCCTGACACCCTGCAGCCCCCCTGCTATAGCAGAGGCATTTCACACAGTGACACTAATCAGCACCCACCTCTGTGCTGTGCCCTGGCACTTCGCACCTGTGCCCCCAGGATGATTAAGACCAGGCAGAGCAGGGCCCCCAGGATAATGCAGACGACCATGGGCACCGTGACTCTCCCACTGTCAGTCAGAGGGCGGCGCGGGGGAGCTGGATGGAAATGAACAGACAAAAGGGAGAGATTATCCTGTGAGAGTCAGAGGGCCCCACGGAGCTCCCCAGTCACTCATTGCACGGCCCAGGACTGCAGGGTAACGGGCTGGGACACAGTTTGTGCGCCATGGGGGCAGCTCACATGCTGCTGTTTAAATCACAGGCTCTACCCTGTCAGCTGGAGCCAGCTAGGGTGACCAGACAGCAAATGTGAAAAATCGGGACAGGGGGAGCAGGGTAATAGGAGCCTATATAAGAAAAAGACCCAAAAATCAGAACTGTCCCTATAAAATCAGGACATCTGGTCACCCTAGAGCCAGCAGATAGAAATCCTCCTGCTCAGCAGGGCCTGCAGCTCCCACCCGGGTGTCCTTCCCCCTCAGATGTCACAGGCCATGGAAAGGAGCTCCTTCCCTCAGGTTGCAGCTTACAGCTCCTCCCTCTGTGACCCAGCCCCAGGGAAATTTAACCCTTGATGGGAGGAGGGGGATGCTTTACCTGGGGTATTTGGAGAATCTGTCCTCTCTGTCAGACCTGCAAAGGGAAAGGGAGGAGAGTTGGAGCCTGGAGCGAGGGGGAGGTGACGTGTCTGTTCCCGGGGGGAACCTCACCACTGAGAGTCCCTGGTTGTCTCCAGCTGTCACCTCCACAAACTCCCTCACAGCAGCACAGGGCCTGTTTGTTAGTGATTTAGGGCCCAAGTCCCTTGTGCTCTGTGCAGCAATGAGGACTCTAGTAACAAACCAGCACACTGGGGCCTGTGAGGGATGCAGGGGCTATGTGGGCTGATGCCTGAGCCAATCTGACCCCACAAAAGTTCCACCCCACAGCATCCATGATGCTCCTGCATACAGGAGATGAGAGGTCCTGGTCTGGGACCAAAGGGATAGGGGGGTGGGCTGATCCATCCTCCTCCCTGAAAATTACAGCATGTAGCAGAGACATCTCCTGTCACTCACCTGAGCAATTCACGGCAGCATCTTCCTTATGACCACAGATGCTCTCACCCCAGGGCTTGGCAGGACACTCCCAGAGAGATGACTCTGTCCCTCTGCAGTTCAACGTCTCCACCCAGATGGGACCAGTCCCCTCACCGAATGCAGCCTCGCCCGGGGCAGATACAGCAGATCCACAGCCCAGTTGTTTACACACAACGTTAGCATCCACCATGTCCCAGGAGTCATCACAAACTGTTCCCCAGGAGCCACGGTACCAAACCTCCACTCTCCCCGAGCATCTGTCCTCTCCTTCCACGACACGTAACTTCTCCTGGTCTGGAAATGCAGAAACCTCACATGTTACTGGGACAGCTGGGAAAGTCCTTAGGGACAAAGAGTGAGACAGTGAGAAGCAGAGATACCTGTGCAGCTCGTAGAGTTCGGGCACTCGGTAAACAGGGTCTGAGTTGGTTTTGCTTTTTTTCCTATGGAGAGAAACAGCTGAGGTGAATGCACTGGGTTGTGTGTGTGATGTAGGAGTAGAATTTATCTGTATTTTTAACCCCTAATTTCAGCACTGTATGAACTGAAATGTGAACTCTAGGTCATTTAATACCAAATTAATTTGCTATCAGTTGTTACTGAGAAACAGGCTGACATGCACCCAGTCTTGTGGGGGATTCCAGTCTTGACCCAAACTGCACAGCCTGGGCCCATCTCTGATTGTTCATCCCAAAAGGATTAATAACCACAGAGCTGCCTAATGATGGTCTATAAGGAGAAGCTTTTCTTCGCTCTCACACTACCTTATCGCACTGTGTAACACTGGTCTCTTTTATAATTAATTGATTAACTTCCATGTTTGTTGTTAATCAGACAAATGCTTATACCTATAAAAGACTGTGAAAATATGTTCGTATCTTGTGTTAAGTATTTACATCTGTCTACACTGAGATGTGAACAACAACAAGTTCTATCCTAACCCTTCAATTTATTGAACATATCGCGTACATGTGTGTGTGCACGTGCACATGCTGGTAGTTTCAGAATTACCAGTGCAAGAAATATGGGTCTCTTCTGCTCGGTTATCACAGGACTTTGAATTCCATTGGTCTGATGGGCACTGCCAGAGGGAGTGGTGCTGCTCACTGCATGCAACCTGGTCCAGCCATGTGGGACCAGAACCTGCTCCATATTCAAAGTCTCTTGCAATCTGCCCTCCATCCCCACAGTTCAGCTGTTTGCAGACAATTGCTGGGGTGACTCCAGACATCTGATTGGAGCAAACACTGCCCCACGTCCCATTGTAGAAAACCTCCAGCCGCCCAGCACAGTCACTGTCGCTCACCAGCCTCAGATCTGTGAATTCTAGAAGCAAAGGCACAAAAAGGGAATTTAAATCATTTGATTCTGAAATGAACTGGGGTGTGAAGAGTGAAATCCCAGCGATTGCTAACAATCCTGTGCATTGTTCTGCAGGAGTAACTGCTAGAGAACCACTCCAAGAATAGGAGACTCTTTTGCACACCACAGGCCCCTTAGAAATACAGTGGGCATCTCTGGAAGGCCACCATTTACCAGCAGCTATATTCAGATTGTACTAGATAAAGGCCGGGAAGGATTGGGACATTGGCAGGCCAGATGCCAGCTCTTGCCCCGGCTGCAGCTGAGAAGTGACAATCTCACAGCTGGAGACCAGATCAGGTCACCTGTATGTTAGTTTTGCTCAAAACAGGTATTAATCTTGTAAGAATGTATTTTGTGCTTAGATTCTATGAAATGATGATTAGTTGCTGCAGGCATTAATCTCACTTGTAATGTCTGTGGTTCATGCTACCAGAAAATATGTAAGTTTTGCTTTATAACTGAAAATGTTTGCTCTGAACTTGTGAACTCAGGCACGGGAATGATCCCCCCATCCATCCCCTGCATGTAGTACATGCAGAAGGCCTCATCCCATCGCTTTGAAGGCTGGAAGGGGGAAATAAAAATAATAGATGTGAAGATTGTTCATCTTTTTGGCTGTTTGAACTGTGACAGGGCTAGAGACACCAAACTGAAGCCAGAGACCCCAAGGGGTTACCCCTGGGTCAGCGCTGAAGGACATTTGGAATTGACAGATCACTACAACTCTGTCACTGCTAGGATGTAAATGGTAACTCATTTGTGTTTAGATGATTTTTTGCTTTAACCTGTAAATAACCTGTTTATTTCTTTTTCCTAGTCAATAAACCTGCATATAGTTTATTACAGGATTGGCTACAGGCATTGTCTTTGGTGTAAGATTCAGGGTACCAACTGATCTGGGATAAGTGACTGGCCTCTTGGGACTGGAATCAACCTGAATGTGGTGTGATTTTTGGTGTAAGCGACCAATTACACTGGTCTACAATTTTTGAGAAGTCGTCTGTTTCAGAGATAAAATGTGCTATTT